ACAATACCTTTTTAACGGAAGGATGTTGTAAATCAGAACTTAGATATCTGAAACACTGATATCGTCGTCTTTGTCCCGGTCTTGTGAAACCAATACTCGGACATAGTTTCAGCAGAAGCTGGTATATGAGGCTTTTCCATACTCCAAGTACATCTTTCCTTTAAACTACAAGGCCTTGAAAACACAATTTCTGCTCGGGTTTTGTTTTTATTCCAGGAAAGAACTTGAGAGAGCCCTCTAGAGCCTTTTTGAATTCCTCTCTGCGTCTCTGTTCATAAAAGTATCACATACCAGTAACATGAAATCAAAGCATCTATGAAAAATGTCAATGGCTTCTTGCCGATCGCTCTTGTGGTCGGTGATGTCAGGGGGTATTGTGTGTTATCCAATCACTGCCACATCCAGATTTTGGATGTGTCACACAATTTGCTGAATGGTTTTGTGTCAGGCCTTCCTTTCTCTTCTCCCCCTCCCCCCTCCTCCATCTCAGATCTCCTCTCCCCTAGCCCCTTAGGAAGGCCTGATACTCAGGCTAAAGTGTACCAGATTCTGTAACTGTTGTTGTCAGTGAAACTGACCATGATGCAAGTAAAATGATGTCATTATTGTGTACTGCTCAGACTGAGACCTTAGAGACCTTAACAAACACTGTTTCTCAATGTTTTGTTCGTGGTTCGCCACCCTCTGGAAAAGTAGTTTCCCATGAAACCCCCCTACCCCTCAGAAATAATTGCCTTTGAACCCCCCCTCCCCCCCGGAATTTCCAATGATCTTCCGTGGGGGGTGGGGGGGTATGGATATTTTCTGGAACCACACAATACAACATATTTTTCAGTATATACCCAAGTGTGTTACAGACATGTTCTTAGCTTGGAACGTTCCATTAAAAATATCCTCAAGCACTATTTTCAGAGGAGCTGAGTCATTAACATCTGATCATGTCATGTTCCCAAATAAGTTATTCTCTTGTGACTGTAACTTTTTATGCTACCCTTTTGAAAGATAAAAGTAGAGTATACCATGTATTTAGTAAGGCACTCGTGTTAAAGGTGGTCGCTTATATGAAGGAGAGGGCCGGAAGCTGAAACGAACACTATCCCATTACTGCGCATGCGCCAAACTTAGATTTTCTGACAGGATGTTGAGAATTAAAAGATCCACATAGTGTTATAGAACCTTCCAAAATCTTTACATCATGCTCGGTTGAGTTACACCATTAAACCTTCTCAAAACTACAGATCAATGTTCCCATTAACTTTTGATTTGAGTGAAATTGAGAGTTTTTAGCATTGCTTTCATTTAGATAATTATAAGAAAGAAACGGCGAGACATGCATGGATGCCACTGAAAAGATCTTGCAACGACTGTTAGTAAAATTAAAAAACCTTAACAATTAATATGACCAACTAAATTAACCAAACAGCTGGCCCTTAATGTATAGAAAAACAAGTGCAATGAAATCATAATAAATTATTATGTTTGACTAATCTTTCCGGTGCCTTCATCATGTAAAGATTGCATTTTTATTTATAACTTTTGAGCGTTTGAGGCTAGAACACAAGAAAATATTACTGGATTTATTTTGAGCTTGCCATAAGTTGAGCTCTGACACAATTAAGTTTCACAGAGGAAAAGGGATAAAGCAAGCAGAACAAGCTTTCAAGGTTGCAATGTAGCCGAGCGAGCGAAAAAATCACAATAAATATTTTTGTGCCATGAGCCAGTTATTATAAGACATTGTCAAAAGTGTTAAATATTACTTGAGATATGTAAGCAAAGGAAGTCTGTCGGAGATGAATTTGCAAGAAAATCTTAGTGCATCTAAGTGTGACAGTTCTGTTGTTGTTTCAAGAAAAAACACATGATATTTGTGTGTGCACACAATCATGATAGTCTCTCTTTAGTATTTATTTTAATATTTGAAGCCTAAAAGAGTGGTACTAATTTGAATGGGGTGCCTATTTGAGGGGCGGAGGGTGGAGAGGGGGGTTAATTTGAGCATTTAGGATAATTAGTGCCTTGGGGCTGTGTATCTTAGCAATGCATTGATGTCTTGATTATTGTTTTTATTGCCCAACTTTATTGTCTCAGGAATTCCCTTTTGCCATGGTGAATTCTTGAGACTCAGCAATTCAGCAGCGGAATTTTGAGAGTTAATTTTTGGTCCAGGGATTCTTTCAGTTGTTGGAGGTCTTTTTGATTTTTGCTCTTATATTCTACTGAAATTAAATCTGGGGTACTCCCTCGGGCAATAAGATCATTATTACACCCTGTAGCCTAGCTCTTTCTCCTGGGTAGGGTGGTCTGCCAGTATTTATTGCTAGTGACAGGCTAGGTAATCTATCCATACCCATACAGGGAAATGGTGGATCTTAAGGTCTCTGATACACTTCCACTTCTTCCGCGATTGAAATAACAGGTCATTTGAACGGTTATTCTATGTATTCCTCTTCTACATAAGGTCAATCGAATGAATGCACCCTTCATTTGCGCTTTTAAAGCTGGACGAGGAATAACAAAGAGCATACTTGTCATTCAAAGAGATGCAAGTAAGTGGCCGGGTATTCTAAAGTTAATAACAATGGAACGAGTTTTAACACGAGCTGCAGACACGAGTGAGCGCAGGGAGTGAGGTTTCTCATACCTCAACAACTCGATCGTATTAAATGCCATAATCACGCACTTTCTATGAAGTATTCTATATGTAATATGCATCTCTTACCTAACGCTGCTGATCTGAGGAAGGAAGCGTTTGATGAATTTCCTCTAAATATGGCGATTGTTCTTCAGCTTCTTTCACGGAATGCTCTGATTACATTTCTTGGCTGACTTCCAGTTCATTCCTCGTTCCCAGGGTCTCTCTACCGAATGGCATGCTAGGAACTCTGCGGCAGCACAAAGGAGCTAACAAGGAATCCAGAACCCAGAAATGGAATCACGGAAACGGAATACGGAATCAAATATCAGTGATAGAAAATTAAAGAATTTCAGTAGTTATATAATGCTGCCTTGTCTCTCACTCCCTTGGAACTTTTTTCCGTCATTTTTCAATTATTTCCCTCATTGCACACCGTCAAGTCCCCCAAATGACCCAAATAACCCAAGTCCCCCAAATCCCCCATATCCCCCATATCCCCCATATCCCCCATATCCCCCAAATCCCCCAAATCCACCAAAAGTGATTCAGAAAAATAAAATTGAATTTAAGAAATTAATATATTAAGATTATAAAGGAAATGGCTGAAAAATCGCTTATAACTGATAAAGATTACAAGAGTTTATCTTTGGCAGAATTAAAAAAAATATACAACAAGAAAAAAAAATTAATAAGGGAAAATTATAAAGAATTAGCTGAAAAAGAAAAAATAATTCGTGATATTAGAAAAGTAGATAAACTCAATGAAAAAATAAAAAAAGGTGTTAATATCAAAAAAGAATGGAAAAAGAAAAAGAAATCAAAACCCAAAAAGATAAAATCGTTTGATAAGTATTTTCAAGAATGCATTAAAAACAAAAAAATCCCAGAAGATACTCCTCCTTATTTTCGTAAGGCTCTTGAGAGAGCTATTAAGGAGCATAATCAAGGACTTGAAAAAGAAAAATCAGCTTGAGAAGATTTTGCTAAAAAATATATAATAAAGGGAGAACCTGGTATTACTCCTTTGCAGTTTTTTGAAAATAAAAAAACTATTATTAAAAATTTTCTTAGAAATTATCGAAATATTAAAGTAAAATTTGTTTTGGTTTGAATGATGGAAAAAGTGGAAGGCGACCAAAAACTAAGATTTGAAGTTCGGGATAAAGCATATTTTCATTCAGATACTTATATTAATCTCAAATCAACCGATATAAAAGATTTGCCTAGAAAAATTATCCGTAACATCACAGAAAAGATTAATATTTATCAACAAAATGGTAGTGGGTGGTATTTTAAAGAAGTTATTCAACTTGAAATTCACACTGTTGAATTTAATCCTTTGAAAGGTTCTTCTTATATTCCTCTTCCAGATTGGATTATGAGAAAAAAAGCAATTGTTAGTATTCGAAATAAAGATTCTAAATGTTTTTTGTGGTCCATACTTCGTTATCTTCATCCAAGAGAAAAGAATGAAAGTCGTTTGAAAGATTTAGAACAATATGAGCATGAGATTAAAATTCCAAAGGGATTTACTTTTCCGGTTAAAATCAGAGACATTACCAAATTTGAAACTATTAATCCAGATTTACCAGGTATAAATGTATTTTCAGTTACTCCCGTCAAAAAGTTTTATCCTCTCCGGATGGCGTTACGTGATCCTCAAAAATCAATAGATTTATTTCTTTATGAAGAGAATGGAAAATATCATTATTCTTTGATTAAAAACTTTTCTCGTCTTTTTCGATCACAAATCACAAGTAGAACAAATGAGCCAATTCATATTTGTAAGAGATGTTTTACTGGTTTTACAAAAGATTCATTATTACAAAAACATATCTCTTATTGTTCGAATAACGAGTCAGTTTCTGTGAAAATGCCAAAATCAGGATCGATTTTAAATTTCAAAAATCATCACAAACAACTTCCTATTCCTTTTGTAGCTTATGCGGATTTTGAGTGCTTTACTAAACCAATGAATACTTGTTGTCCTAATCCAGAAGATTCTTATAATTATAATTACCAAAAACACGAACCATCAGGATTTTGTATTTTTATTAAAGGAGTGGTTGATAAAAGAATAAAACCAATCACTTATACTAAAAAAGAAGAAGATGAAAATATAGCAAAAATATTTGTAGAAAAACTCTCAGAAGCAACTAGAGGTATTTATAATGATTTTTATCGCAGACGAAAACTTCTTTATCTAACCCAAGACGAACAAAAATCATTTGACAAAGCGAAATTTTGTCATATTTGTAATAAAGAATTATTGAAAGATAAAGTTAGAGATCATTGTCACTTTACGGGCCAGTATAGAGGTGCTGCTCATAACAGTTGTAATCTTAGGTGTAAAAAACCAAGAATACTACCAGTTATATTTCACAATCTTCAAGGTTACGACGCGCATTTATTTATAAAGCAACTTGCTAAAATTCAAGGAAAATTAGATTGTATTCCATCTACGGAAGAAAATTATATATCCTTTTCTAAAAATATTAAAGTTGGTAAGTATGAAGATTATACTGGATTAACTTTACCAATAAATTTCGAAATTCGTTTTATAGATTCGTTTAAGTTTCTTCAAACATCTCTTGCTAATCTTGTTTCAAATTTACAACCAGATGATTTTCATAATACAAAACGAGAGTTCAAGAAGAATGTAGATCTACTCACTCGGAAGGGAGTTTATCCTTATGATTATGTTTCATCGCTTGAAAAAATGTCCGAAACACAATTACCTCCAAAAGAAGAATTTTATTCGAAACTAAATGAGGAAGACATATCCGAAGATGATTACCAACACGCAATAAACGTGTGGAATACTTTTAATTGCAAAACAATCAAAGATTATCACGATCTTTACCTAAAATCCGATGTGTTACTATTAGCCGATGTGTTTGAGAATTTCAGGAAAACTTGTCTAAAACAATACAACCTTGATCCAGCTCATTATTACACATCTCCAGGTTTAGCTTGGGATGCTTGTCTCAAAGAAACAGGGCAGGAATTACAGTTACTACATGATTATGATATGCTCATGATGATTGAAAAAGGTATTCGCGGTGGAATAACTCATATATCAAAGAGATACGCAGAGGCGAATAACAAATATATGAAAAATTACGACCCCCAAAAACCGTCTACATTTATTCAATACCTCGATGCAAATAATCTTTACAGTTGGGCAATGTCACAAAATCTTCCAACAAATGGATTCAAATGGATGACTAACCTAACAAAAGACAAACTCATGGAAATCCTAGAAAAAACAAATCATAGTATGTCAAATCGAGGAAAAAAAGGCTACGTCTTTGAAGTTGATTTGGAATATCCTAAAAAACTATGGGAAACACATAATGACTATCCTCTTGCACCTGAAAAGATGAATGTTAATGGAGTTGAAAAACTAATTAGCCATTTTAAACCAAGAAAAAATTACGTTGTCCATTATCGAAATCTTAGACAATATCTTGAAATGGGAATGAGGATAACTGCTGTTCATAGGGGAATAACTTTTAACCAAAGTCCTTGGATGGAACCCTATATCAGAAAGAACACAGAACTAAGAAAAACAGCGGCTAACAGTTTTGAGAAAGACTTTTTTAAACTCATGAACAATTCAGTGTTTGGAAAAACAATAGAAAACATACGAAAAAGACAAAATATAGTACTTGTTGATAATCGTAAGATAGCTGCTAAACTAATAAGTCGTCCGAACTTTGATAGGGCTACGATATTTGATAAAAATTTTATAGCTGTTCATATGAAAAAAACAGAGGTCTATTTTAACAAACCAGTCTATGTTGGTCAAGCAATCTTAGACTTATCCAAAACCTTAATGTTTGATTTTCACTACAATTATATAAAAGACAAATACGATACAAAAGCGGAGTTACTTTTAACAGACACCGATTCCCTTTTATATCTAATTCACACGGATGATTTTTATAAAGATATATCACATGATATAAAAAAGAAGTTTGACACTTCTGATTATCCTCCCAATCACGAATCTGGAATTCCAACAGGGTTAAACAAAAAAGTAATTGGAATGTTCAAGGATGAAGTTGCAGGAAAGCAAATCTCTCATTTCATAGGTCTTCGCCCAAAGCTTTACAGCTTTAAAATAGAAGATGGCAAAAATGTTAAGAAGTGCAAGGGAATAAAAAAGTCTGTAGTTTCAAAAGAATTTCATTTGAGCATTATTTTGATTGTTTATTCACGGGGGAGAAACAAATGCGAAGTATGAAAATAATACAAAGTAAGTATCACGATATATATTCTAAAGAAGTAAATAAAATAGCTCTGAGCTGCGAAGATGACAAAAGATTAGTACTAAGCAACAAAGTTGATACGAAAGCAATAAGGTAGAATTAAAAATTAAAAACCTAAAAAATAAATGAATTACTCAGAAGATCAAATAAAAAAATATTTAGAAATTTTGCATATAATAATAATAATAATAATAATAACTTTATTTCTATAGCGCTCTTATCCTATGTTCAAGGCGCTTTACAATCATGTAAACAACATTATTGAAAAATATTTACAAATTTACTACCATATCCTAATATATTTACAATGGATAAAAAAGGAAAAATTGAAACTAAAACAACTATTAAACCATATTCATAATGATAAAAAAAGGGAAAAAATTAAAACTAACGCAATATATACAAATTTATAAAAACAATGATCCGTTATCACTGAATTTAGTAAACAAGTACGTCTTAAGTGATCTTTTAAAACTCGAGATTGTGTTGGACTTTCGAATTTCATAGGGTATTAAGTTCCATTCTCTTGGTGCATGAACAGCGAATGCTCTATCTCCGTAGGTCTTGGTATACGATCTAGGTTGCATTAAAAGTTCATTACTAACAGACCTCAATGATCTAGAATGAGGACGATAATGTAGTTTTTGAGCTAAATAGCTAGGCGATGTCCCATTCAGTGATTTATACACGACGAGCAGAATCTTGAAAATAATACGATATTGAATCGGTAGCCAGTGAAGCGCACACAAAACAGGTGTGATATGCTGAAACTTACTCACTTGCAACACAACTCTAGCCGCCGTGTTTTGTACATACTGCAATCTTTGTAACTGATACTTAGGTAGGCCGTATAATAATGGATTACAGTAATCTAGTTTCGATGTGACAAATGCATGAACAGCAACTTCTGCTGATTCTTTAGTGAAATACTTCCTAATTCTAGATAGGTTCCTGAGATGATAAAATGATGATCTACAGATGCTAGACACATGTGCATGAAAAGACATGTGCTCATCAAAGATAACACCAAGACTCCTAGCCGACTGAGAGGCAGCCACGCTCTCATCACCAACACATAAGGACTGAAAGGATGGAGAGGGACGATGCTTTGAGTGGATAAGCATGACCTCCATCTTGTCGTGGTTTAGCTTCAATTCGTTGAGATCCATCCAGCGACATATTGCAGAAATGCAGTTCTCGACCCTCGATTTAGCAGCGTCCACATCCACCGATTTGAATGCAAAGTATAACTGAGTATCGTCGGCGAATAGATGATAATCTAAGCCATAAGATCTTATCACTTTAGCAAGTGGCGCAGTATACAGAAGGTAGAGAACAGGTCCAAGAACTGAACCTTGGGGAACACCGACGGGAAGATTTCGTACCGTAGAATTCGCCTCATTGATGTTTACAAACTGAGTTCTTTGAGAAAGATAAGAATCGAACCATTGCAGTACAGTTCCTCTGATACCAAATGATTTCTGCAGTCGTGCCAGCAGCAAGGAATGGTTAACGGTATCAAATGCTGCCGACAGATCCAATAAAACGAGGAAAACATTCTCACCCTTATCCAATGACAGCATAATATCATTTGTAACTGTGAGAAGTGCAGTCTCGGTGCTGTGAAAAATCTTGTACGCTGATTGAAGAGGCTCGTGTAGATCATTTTCGCCAAGATAGCTATTCAATTGCACAAACACTGCTTTCTCTATCAATTTAGACAGGAACTTTAAATTTGATACAGGGCGAAAATTACTAAACTGCTCAAAGTCTGCATTTAATTTCTTAAGAATAGGTGATAGCAGCGCCACCTTAAGTTCCTTGGGCAGCAATCCAGATGACAATGACAAATTAATGACCCTTCTAAATACAGGGACAAGACTAGAATAGCATTTCCGCATGATACTCGCTGGAAGCGGATCCAGTGCGCATGCCTTAATAGTTGAACCCCTAATCAACCCTAAGACGTCTTCATCTGTTACCATTGTGAACTCGCTAAAGCATGACGTACACTCAGAATCCTCCATGGTGCGCTCCCCCAGCTGCTCTTTTCTAACCAGCAACTCATCACGAATTCGCACAATCTTGGCACTAAAGAAATCAGCAAAGGCATCTGCGAGTTCTTGGTCACTGTTCGCAGACGGATATCTTTTGTCTATACTCCTTTGCAGTAATTTATCAACTGTGCGAAAAAGTAATTTACTATCGTGGGCATTTTCCTGAATAACTGCTGAATAATGCTGTTCTTTCGCCTTGTAGAGCATATCATTCACAACATTGCACTGTTCCATATAATTTACCCTGTCAGTTTCAAGATCAGTCGAACGCCATTTACGTTCAAGCCTTCGCCTTTTCCTCTTCTGAGTAGCGATCTCCTCATTATACCAAGGAGCATTAGGTCGAATGACAATAGTGCGAGTTCTTTTAGGTGCCAACTTGTCCAAAGCCTTGCATAACACCTCATCATACTCCTTCGCCAATGACTCAACACTTTGCAAGATACACCCGTCTGACAAACCAGACGATCCAATCATCTCATTGAAAACATCAAAATCAAATCCCTTTAATTTACGAGAGACAACAGTCCTCCTCTCATTTAATGGTTTCCGTAAATTCAAATTAAAGCAAACAGCCTTATGATCCGAGATAAACTGTTCCATGACTGTAACATTCTTTAGGCCTAAGGCACCCTCAGTCTCATTCCTTGTAATGACCAAGTCCAATATATGACCTCGTTTATGGGTGGGTACACACACATGTTGCTTTAAATTGAACAAATCCAGTAACTCTCCAAATCGTGTCGCGTCCCAATCAGCCTTGTCGTCCATATGGAAGTTAAAATCCCCGTATATCAAAAGCTCTTCTGGGCATATTACAGTTTTTTTTTTTTTTTTTTTTTTTTTTTTTTTTAAATATGTTTATTGATAATCACATTAAATAATTACATTTACAAAACACACACACAAAAAAAAAAAATTGTCAAATTATTACAGGAGGTGTTACAGGGCTAAAAGAAATTGTAAAAAAAGTACAACAGGGCAATGAAATAATACGGAGGTAATACAGTTAACTTAAATAAGGCGTCAGTATCCACTTTCTTTTAAAGAATTCTTTGTTGCTGATTTTTTCTTCTGTTTCATATTTAGCGATGATCTTGGCTTTAAATCCACAAATGTTTGGAAGGATTTGTTTGCTCCTGCAGTCCCACAAATAGAGTTTTCCAATAATTATAAAATAGTTCAGCAATTGAAGTAAAGGGCAAGCATTTTCCGTCAAAATTCCAAAGAGCACATTTTCCAAGTAGAGACGAATTCGTTGATTCGAAATAAGGCACCAATATAGTTCAAATTCAATCCAAAACTGTTTAGAGCGTGAGCAGTGATAGAACAAATGCGTTAATGATTCAGGTTGATTGTCACAGAAAGTACATAAATCATTTGTCCTATAACCTATTTTATACAACTTTGTATTTGTGTAAAGAATTGAGTTAATTACTTTGTACTGGAAGGCTTTAACATACGATTCGACAGCGATAGAGTGTGGCAGCTTAAATATTTGCTTCAGATTGTCGCTGTTAAAATTAAAGTTACTCTGTAATTTTTGAATAATATTGGGCGGTTTAGCTTTTTCTCTGATGAGTAGGTTGTAGTAATCCTTTGATTTCCCTTTCGTAACATCAAAATTATTGTCACCCACCACAAATGTTGGTGAGTTTATGGAAGGATACCTGTCATAACTTCTTAACGATAATGGAATGGACCTGCGTAAGCCAGCCCATTCTAAAATATTTGTTTTGCATATTTTTTTAGACAGTTGATTATAAGAATCAGTACTGTTCAGACTAAATAAAAGATCCTGAATGCAAATGACACTCGCATTAACATAATGTTTATAATAAACCGGCTTGTTTTCTACTTTTATTTCTTTGTTATTCCAGATTATCGTTTTCCAATCTTCTTCAGTGGCAAACGTTTCACGAAATTGCGACCACCATAACAAAAGTTCCTGATAAAATTGAGAAGGAATTGTGAAATCCGAGATATTGTAGTTGCAGTTAAAAAGAACAATCCCCAACGGAGCTCAGTATGTGTTGTAGGTAGCTTTTCCAAGTTCCATTAGTCCCACTGAAGATACGTTTTAACCAAGCTAATCTCAATGACTTAACCATGCACTCGAGATCAACCATTCTTAGCCCTCCCTCTTCGTATTCGTTTATAACTGAAGCTCTTGTTACCTTATCTACACCTTTCCAGAGAAATTTAAACAGTATTTTATTCAATTCTTTTAGTAATTCCTTGGGAGTTGGAAGGATCGAACAAATGTAAATGTACTTAGGGATAAGAAAAGATTTGATTATTGTCACCTTACCGTATATCGACAGGCCTCTAGCGGACCATATATTAATAAGTTTTTTAATTGAATCCAGTCGTTCTATAAAATTCTTTTCTTTAAGCAATTTTTGGTCATAAGTAAAATATACACCTAGAGCTTTTATTGGCTCGTCCGGCCATTTAATACCGAATGGTTTTTCTTTATAATGTCTCCTAGATCCAATCCACATACCTTCAGTTTTTGAACAGTTAATCTTGAGTCCAGAGAGAATTTCGAATTTGTTAAG